GAACGGCGGTCGACTACGTGGGAGTCCAGCAACATAGCCATTACGCTAACTGCTGGTTCCCCAAAAACATAGCTCTTAAGCAAGTAAGGGACCTTAGTGTCTTGGACTGGCTGGCCCTGAGACCCTTGCAAACTGGGGCTGTCAGTGTCTGAGTTCAGCAGAACTGCCTGAAGCCCTGGGCTGAAGTTAGAGGAGGCTGAGGGGTGTGTGGCAGGCACCTGGGAGGCAGCTGCAGGAGGGAGGGAGGACAGGGGCGCACCTGCAGGGAGGCAGGAGGACAAGGGAGCAGTTGCAGGTGGGGGTAGGCTCCCAGGGGGGACAATGAGTACACTCTCAACTGTGGTATGTTTTCCCGGATCCGAGTGAGAGGTGGTCCCTGAGAGCTGGGGACAGGGCAGTGGTGAGAAGGAAGGAGACTTTCAGGAGGGCAAGCCTCGAGAAACAGAGCAAGAGCAGGGGGCAGCCAGACAATGCCGAGGCCCCTTGGGCTGCTGGCCGTGTTTCAGGAGGACCCTCTGCCCCTGTCACGGGTTGGGTTCCAGCAGTGCCCCGCTGCACAAGGGCAGGAACACAGGAGGCAGATGGCTGTGTTCAGCCAGAGACTCAGTCCCGGGGAAGACCTGGATGATGCAGAATTTGAAGGCAGGAGGAAGCTGGAAGCATAAAGAGGCGAGGGCATACTCGCTCCCTCGCAGGCTGCTGCAAGGACGAATACCTCAGCCCGTACAAGTGACTGCGTGCTAAACGCATGTGCCAAGCCTAGGTCCCGCCCGTCCTTCCTTTCCCTGGCCATCCCTCCGTCTCCTGAGAGCAGGGAGGCTGAGATTCCTCTGGAATGCAGCGGCTCCCCCGGAGGCATCCTGAAGCAGAGGGGGACATTTCAGAGTCCCAGCCTGCTCCCCAAAGCCCATCCCACCCCAACCTCCTTGCCTGTTACAGAGATTGGCGTGGGTACCACCGGCTTCGGCATCTTCTTCATCCTCTTTGGAATCCTCCTGTACTTCGATTCAGTGCTCCTGGCCTTCGGAAACGTGAGTCCCCCAGCCCTGCATGCCAACCCCACCCCAAGCTGCCTAGGTCTCCGTTGCCAGGAAGGTCAACTCCAAGTTCATTCAGATGGTGTCTCTCCGGGGGTCAGACATCACCAAGCTCAGGCAGGTGAAGTTCGCAGGGATGGACAGCAGAGCCCACTGGGCACAGAGAATCTGGGAAACTGGACTATCGCATCCAGCTCTGGGTGGGGCCCTGGGGGTTCCAGTGGCCCTGGGTTACAAGATGAAGCACACGCTATGTCCCTGCCATCTGAACACCACTACCTGGGAACAGGGCCATCATGTGTGTGCACACGGCTGAGAAGAAGGGGGCACTGTAAAGTCACAATGGATAAACACGTTCAGTGTGAAACAAGGGACCCTGAGGAAAGAGAGCACCCTCAATCAGAGAGGGTGGAAGGAATTTGGAAAGGGAATCCCTCCATCCTACGAGGAGGACAAAGCACATCCCGGTGGCTGGCGCAGCAGGAGGAAAGGTTTGGAGAAGGGAGGACGAGCAGGGACAGGCCAGGAGGAAGCCGGAGAGGCTGATCTGAGGGGAGTCTGGGCAGTCTTAAGGGATTATTAGGGATCTGAAGTTAATGACAGGGCCACATGGTGGAGGGCCTGGAGTGTAACCTACGGGCAGTGGACCCCAAAGGTTCCATGTGACTTTGGGTAGGTGCCTAACCTAGTGGGCCTCAGCCTTCACTTCTGTAAGATGGTGAGAATCTCACTCTCTCTTCCCTGGGAGATATGATGATAAATGAAGTCAGGTGTGGAGAAAGGCTTGGGATCCAAGGAACTGGGTGCGAAACTAGAGCCCTTCAGAGTTCTCTTTGTCCACCGCCTGCCTCTGGGCAGGTCTGTCCCTAGCCTGCTCAGCTGCTCAAGCTCCGGAATTCTGCCCAGATAACTTTTCTCATAGCACCCTGCCTCCTGCCTGACACTGAGCCCAACTCCTCCAGGGGCTGGTGGGCTTGCTCTCACACGCCTCTCCCTACCCCACAGCTGCTGTTCCTGACGGGCCTTACCCTCATCATTGGCCTGAGGAAGACCCTTTCGTTCTTCTTCCAGCGGCACAAGCTCAAGGGAACCAGCTTCTTCCTGGGGGGCGTGGTCATTGTGCTGCTGCGCTGGCCCCTCCTGGGCATGTTCTTGGAGACCTACGGGTTCTTTAGCCTCTTCAAGTGAGTGCAAACCCCCATAACCCGGGACAGACATATCAAAGCATCTGAGTAGCCGATATCACCCTAACAGATCCTGGAAATTCATCCTACAAGAGACGAGAGCCATAGGAAGATTGGAAATGGGAGGGTGACACTTTGGATGCAGGATAGGCTACAGAATGCACAGGAGAGACCGGCCCATCCACCAGCAGATGCAGCACGTCCGCATCCCCAGCACTGTGCCTTTCGCCAGGGCGGAGACACCAGCCTGCCCGCAAGTCTCAGTGATCCAGAGGGTCGAGCCACTCACAATCACCTCATTTTATCCCCATACCCCACTGCAGGATTGTCTTCTCCTTAACAGATAAAGAAACCAATATGCAGAGAGGCTGCCCCATGCTCAGGGCCTCACTACCAGTGTGTGAAACATCCAGACTTGACCCAAGGGTCTCTGCCTTTGGACTGTCCTATGTCAGCCTTGGGCCCAATAGGAGGCAGGGTGGAACTCAGCCATGATGCAGAGCCACGGCTGGGCTGCGTGACTGTCAGTGACAGCATGTGGCAGTCTGTTCTCTGCTTGGACAGCCATAGGCAGTGAGCCCCAGCCCCCGAACCTCCCTTTCTCTGAAGCCTCTGACAGGTGAGAAGCCCAGGGAGACCCATGCCAGCACCCACAGGAGCTCAGAGGGAGGCCAGGGAGGCACTCTGGAAGAAGCAAGACCTGAGGCGGGTCTTGGGGGATGAGGAGGGTCTACCAGAAGACTGGAGGAAAAGAAAGGAAAGAATATCAGGGACGCGGGGTGGGAGGGAGGACCTCGTGTCCATGAGATACTGCAGACAGAGCAGGGCTGGGATGGGGACTGTGGGGACCGGAAAGCTCATGGCTTATGCAGTCATGGGAAGGAGTGGGGGTCAGGAACCCCTGGATTCTGATAGGAGCCCCCATTTGCTTAGTGTGGCCTCGAAAACACCCTGACTGGCCTTGATGTTGCAGGCCTAATAGACCACATGGAATGTGGCTGCAGGACCCTAGATTTCCTCACACGTGGCTGCCACCATTCGTTCAATACCCAAGTGTGTCATGATTCAAAAGTCGTGAGTTCAAATCATCCAATATCTGTTAAGTACCTACTGCATGACAAATATAGGGCTGGCATGGGAAGTGGCACTAAACCAGGAGGAACTTATTCCCTGGTAGGGAAGGCAAATCGATCTGACAGTAGCCTCATTTACCAAGGGCTCAGAAGTGTGGTGCCGCCACTGCAGATTCAGTAGTTCGAACCCAAAGTAAACCTTGACAAAGACACCTTGCAACACTGTAGTAAGGGATAATAAGCATCTGAACTCTAAGGAACTCAGAAATACAACTGAGCCTCAGGGACTTGACAACAAGAAAAGGAAGTGGCTCAGCCAGAAGTTGAATATTTTTTTGGAAGGGGTTTTTTGCCTTCAAGCTCATGCACTCACCCGAGAGAGAGAGAGAGAGAGACAGAGATAGAGACAGTGAGAAGGGAAGTGAGAAATCACGCACCGGGGGGATGGCTACACCACATTCCCTTCTCTATTCTCCTCCTGGGGTCTTTGGGCGTGGACACACACGCCCAGCATGAGTTTCAAGCCATTGGCCATGAGGGAGTCCAGTGGTGTAACCAGTACACCATTTGCTGGCCCCAGAATTCAAATTCTAATCTCCTCACCCACCCACTCCATGCAGGCTCCCTTCCCACACCTGCCTGGCTGCCTCCAAGCCCTGGGAGGACCTCACACATGAGCCCAGTCGGACCTTGACAGGGTGTGTTTGATAGGAGCGGGGATGCCAGGAGCAAAGGGTGGCTCTGTGCCCGGGGATGCCAAGGCACGAGGGACTATCCAATGACAATCCATGCCCAGGGCCCAGGGTGCCTTCTTCCCAATCAGGGGAGGAGGCGAAGGCTTCAGTCCAGACTGATAACGATGAGGAAAGTGACAACAGTGAAAATGCACATTTCCCGAGCATTTCTTTGTGTCACTTCTGCGATGTGGACCCTGTTACTATTTTTATTTTTTTGAGAAGTTTTTGCTGTAGGGCACATGCGCTCGCCGGAAAGACAGAGAGAGACAGAGAGACAGAAAGCAAGAAATCACCCCCCAGGGAGGATGGACACGATGCAATCTCTTCTCCTCCATTCTCCTCTCTGGATCTCGGGCACGCACGCACATGCGCCTGGTGTGAGTTTAAGCCACCGGGCCTGGGACTGGAACTGTGGTTGACTACCTGGGAGTCCAGCAACATAGCCATTATGCCAACTGCTGGTCCCAATGCTATTATTATTGTGAGCCCATTTCACTGCTGGAAACAGCTGCAGAGACGTTTCGGAACTTGTCCGAGTGTGTACAGTGCCGGCAAGTAGTCAGCCAAGATGTGGGTCCACGGAGCCCGATCCCAGAGCCTCCGTTCTTTACCATGTCACTCGATTACCTCAAGAAACCGGGTGCAGCGGCAAGCATGGCCCCAGGACCAGGGCTGCTCTCATGGGAGCCGTGGCTGGAGGCTTTGGTGGCTCTCAGCCTCCCTACTCTGTCCTCCCCTCCTGGGCCTTCACTGACTCCTCCCTCCTCCCCTCTGCTCCTAGGGGCTTTTTTCCTGTGGCCTTCGGCTTCCTGGGCAACGCCTGCAACATCCCCTTCCTGAGTGCGGTGAGTACTCTGTGCTTGCGGCTGCGCCTTGGGGAGGGCACGAGGAGTTGGTAAAACTGCAGCCCCAGGTGCCCCACCCTGTCTCCCCAGGCTGGCAGCCTTCAGCCCCTCTTCCCCTCCCTGCGCCACCTCCATGTGACAAGTGCAGATGAGGGGAGGGTGGCCACAGCAGTCGGTCCTGCCTAAGGATGTCTACAGAGGGAGGTGCCCTAACAGCTCCCAACTGGAGCCAAGATGGGGGCTCCGAGACTTTGGGTGACCCTGCCAGGAAGTGCCGAGGATTTCTGGGGAGCTGGCTAAGCTTGGGCCCCGGGTGTGGAGGGGATGTGTGATAACCAGGGACAAAGACGGCAGATTCTGTTCTCTGCTGGGACAGCCACAGGCAGGGGACCAGCCCCACACCGCCCTGTCTGAAGCACCCGACAGATGAGCAGCCCAGGGAGGGCCCCTGGCCAGCACCTTGCTGTGCCTGCCAGCTGGGTGCAGCCCCCAAGCCCCACTCCGTGCCCGCGCCTGGCCTGCTCCAGCTCTCAAGGCCAGCTCGGTAATAACCTGGACGCCGAGTCCGCCCCCGCTCTTTGTCTGGAGTAATGATTCTTGGCTCCCACAGCTGTTCCGGAGGCTTCAAGGCACCAGCTCAATGGTCTGAAGCACAGAGATGAGCCCCTTGAACTTGGATCATTGGTTGAGGGGCTGGAAGGGGGCTGCAGGCCACCCCCACAGGTGCCCTGGCCAGCGCTGACTGCCTCCTGTCATGTCTGGACCTGCCCAAGTCCAGAAGGAGAAACGGAACTGAGTGACTGACCTCGAATCCCACGTCAACTCCAGGCTGCCGGGCCCGTCAGGAGCAGAGACCCAGGCCCCATGGAGAGCGGACGGAGGCTGGCATCCCAACCCCCTCCTGGGCGTATGGGGGAAAGGGAAGATTAAACCCCCAAGCGCTGTGTTCCCGAGTGTGTCTGCCACTCCAGGACTCCAGTCGTGCTCCTAGTCCTTTAAGCCCGCCCGTGCTGCAGGGCAGGCTGCCGCAGGGGCCC